ATTTTTTTTTTACCGAATTTATTGAATAAAACAAATGTCAAAGTAAAGATATCAATTATGTAATTAATTAAAATGAAAAACCATTTTATTCCTTGACCTTACAAATTAATAAAAAAAATTTTTTTTTTTTTAAATTTGACCTGCCAAATTTTTAGGCTCTCACAATTTTAATGGCTTCTATTACAAATACGAAGAACAAACGTGTTTGTTTACACCCATGGAAGGAAATTTTTTTTACGCAATTTATTTTTTTAATAAAATTTTATCCATGATGAATGGATGGATATTGATTTTTACTTGACAATGTTTAACAAAAAAATTTTCCTTTTTTTTCAGTCACCTTCCGGAATCATCATTCAAAGGTTTGGAAGAAGTTGAATACCTGAGTTTAGCCGATAATCAACTATTAGAAATACCAAAAAATGTTTTGAAAATGATGCCGAAATTAAAAACTCTCGATTTGGGTAGAAGTCGTATAGCAAATTTATTAGATGAAGATTTTTCCGTAATTTATTTATTTATATCTTTAACAAGACTCCAAAAAAAAAAAAAATTTTCCAAAAAAAACTTATCGTTCTAAAATTTTTTTTCCAGGGATTACCAACTTTACGACATTTACTACTACCCGGTAACATGCTAGCAAAAATCGAATCAAACGCATTACCCAAAACAATGAGACGAATACATTTGGGAAGAAATTCATTAAAAAATTTAAATGGAAGTTTGAGGTAAAAAATATAATTAAAATGATATATATCGAATAGGGTCACGTGGGTCAGGTTAAGGTCAAAATTGCCATTTGGAAAAATTCAAATGATATAGATAGATATTCTTTCGAAATTATTTTTTTTTTTTAATTTAGGGCTTTAAACGATTTGGAATGGTTATTTATAAATGGAAATCAATTGACGACACTTTACGAACAACTTCCACCGGAAGCACCGAAATTAATTTTACTACATGCAGCACATAATCAATTGACGAAATTACCTGTCGAATTACAAAATTATCCGATAATGGGTTCATTATTTTTTTACAATAATAATATCGTTTCGTTGGATAAAGTTTTACAAAAATCTCGACGATTAAGACGACTTCATTTAACTCATAATAAAATTCACACGGTGTGTGTTTATTTATAATATTTTCATTTAAAAGAAAATTTATATTTGGGTTAAAAGGTTTTGTTAACATTACTTTACTTTTTTGTAAGCTAGCTGATGATGAATTTGCCGAAACCGAACTCATGGACGATATACAATTGGGACACAATCATTTGAAAAATTTAAATCGTGCTTTTCTACCAATGCGCAGATTGAGGTCCCTCAATTTAACTCATAACCTTCTCGAAGAATTTTCTTTTCAAGAAATACGAGGGTTGCAAAACCTTAAAATCGTCGATTTATCATTTAATAAAATTTCACAACTCAATGGAAAAATGGAAGTGAGTTTTTTTTTTTTTTAAAAAAATTTATTAAGAGAGTGTCGAAATTTGGGATGATGATAATAATAATAAAAAAATTTTATTTTTTTTTAGAATTTAGTCGAATTAGAAACGAGAGTAGAAGAATTAAGATTGGAACATAACGAAATAAAAGCTTTGGAAGGTTCTCTCATGGGTATTCACGGATTACAAAAATTAAATTTGAGCCACAATAAACTCATGACGATTGCTCCGGATGATTTTATAGGATTGGAAGATTTAACAATATTGGATATTTCTTATAATCTTTTACAAACTTTGGATGAAACTTCAAAGGTTTTTTTTTTTAATTTTTTTTTTTTTGTCTTAGGTTTTAAATTATTTCCCCATTAAAAATTGACGATTTATTTTCAGACATTTCTTCCAAATTTAGAAGAGTTAATTGCCAATAATAATTGGCTTCAGGTTTTGGATAAAGATTTTCACGGTCTTCCCGTTTTATGTAAAGCTGAACTTTCAAGCAATCGAATTCATACAATTGGTAAAGATTTAATAAGTAAAACAAGATGTAAAGTTAAAGGAGTTTATGGAATCTTGAGAATTTACTTACATGGTAAATTGATGACGTAATATTAGTAATTTTTTTAAGAGTTTAGGTTAGTTAAATAGGAATAATAATAATGATTTCAGACAATCCAGTTCTCTGTCATCCTGAATTTAATCAAACGGCTGAATACATGGAAGCGAATGCGACAAAAATACATGGGGATTTTAACATTTGTCCAGTAATTGAAGTATCACCAACCACTGGAGAACCCATATTAACATCTTCGACAAATTTAACACCACCCACTACAGATAACATAAAGGCAATTAACATATTACCAATATTAAGAGGTAGTCAACCAGAAGTGTTGCCTCTTTTTTTCAATCCGCAAGAACATGAAGTAACATCAAAGAATCCAATTGAAATTGGTAATAAAACGAAAATAATCGAACAAATATCTAAAAAAAACGAAACGAATT